TTCTCCTAATTTGCCAACGAAGACGCTCCCAGTTAGTATACATCCGTTCACGGTAAATTCTAGTGTCTTTTCTTCCTTTTGTACGTAAAATTGGTATTTATACTTCCACCTATTAACTAGCACGTCACCAGGGGTATTGAATTGACCGAGATATTGTGCATTATCTATTGAATAAATAAACATGCTGAATGATTAGTAGTAAAACAATAAATAATCAGGTTTGTAATTTAGTCATGTGATAATTATTATCTTTTCTTTACAATGCGAATGCAGTAGAAATACGAAACTATTCAGTAAAAACTAATAACTATGTCGTTCCTCAGGAAAATCGGGTTCTCATTATTTTAAATTTTTATCAACGATACTCTATGGACGTCAGTATTTAATTATGCTCATTTACTCATGTCTGTAAATAAAATTAACTTACGTTTGTAACTGTATGGCATACAAAAAAAAAAAATTCAAAAATTAAATGCCTTTACGAACGGTTTATTAATAAGCTTAATATAATTGTATTTCTCATTAATTCAGAACAGCGCGAACAGTGCCATTATCAGATAAATTAAGTTTCATTTTAATGATGAACTGCGATCTTATCCCGGTCCTTAGATATACCATTGCTCAATGATAGCGCTGCACGATACAGCATTGCTTACTGATTGAGCTGCACATCTTCGAACTGTCGCTGCTTGTGCCTTACCTGAAGTACACCTGCTTGCCGGCTCACTCCCATTTGGCAGAGGAAACGTCTCACACTCTTGTATTTTAAAATAATTAATCCATGACATGTTCTACAAAATGTAACAAACATTATACTATGCAAATTTTCTTTAAGAACCAAAGTATAACATAGGTGAATGCTCATTTTGACTTCTATAATTGTTAATGTCAAAATGATAGGTGTACATTTGTATATGTATGGAAGATTAAATCTGACAAATGAAACCCATAATATTGGGAATCATCTCTTGATACCTATCTAATTGTAATATAGTATGGGCACTTTATTTACTTATTTGAATTTATAATTTTTTTTGCCTATTTGTTTTATACTATTCAATTTTATGTTTTTTTTTTTTTTTTTTTTTTTTTTTTTTTTTTTTTTTTGGTATATTTTTACAAGTACTATGTATATGTGCGTGTATATAGAAAAACACACACAAATACAAACAATACGAGATTATTTATTTAATTATCAGAATTTATTACATTTCATTCATATGTATGCAAACATGTGTACATATATATTTTGTATAATATACTTCATCTTAGAGGCTTGTGTTCAGTCAAGACTCCTTTATGGTACCCAAGATTGGTTTCCGAATGAAAGCGAGATTAAGAAGTTAGAAGATTGTTGGTACAATCTGCTAAGGCAGATGGTCAAGAGAAGGTTTTACAGAGTAAACAGACTATCGGAAGATTAATGCTTCAAACTTGTATAATATTTTAATGTACTGATAGGAGAAATTGTTAGAACATCACCATTAAGAGACTGTATTATACAGTCAGTACATTAGATATATCGCTCATGTTTTCGGAGGGCCAAATACATCTCTTACAAAAAATGTTATTTGCTGCTCCAACCAGGAGGTACTACTGCGATCCTTGGCTTAAGATATCTCTTATTTTAAGCATAGAAGTTAGGCAAGCGAAAGCCATTACACAATAAAAAGAAAAACTAAACGAACACCTAAGTATGCTGTTTAATGCTAAACAGGTTTTCGGCTCAAGCTGTACGATGTAGAAGAGGAGGATTGTACTGTTTTTTTAAATAATAACTTATTTTATACATGCCTTTAAAAAAAACCTTTATTCTATATGCCATTGCTATTTTTTTATTTGATTTAATTAATCTTAAAAAAATAAAAGATATTAATTACATATTCATATTAATATTAAAGTCTGCCAACCTGTTTGTAGTCTTCAATATACACAAATTTTGTTATGTTTCCGTCTTTACTCTCAGTGATGTTATATAAAAATCGAAATTGAATATAATCCATCACCGACATACCAGTTTGCTTGACTATGTCTAGGTGTTGGCCTTTAGGACTACCAGAAACCATTTCTTAAACAAAAAAGCGAACGATTTTTAGTATTATGCAAAGCACCACAAAGAAATTTATATTAAAGGTTATTCTTCATACTTACGTAAAGTGGTTGCTCTCGAA